AATGTAGATTTGAGAGGTTTTTGTTATTTTTTTATAATGGTTGAGATGGATATAATTTAGGTACAAATTATATAGATATGTATTACTTACATTATCTTTCATAATGCCATGTATGGGTAATTTGAATGCAAACTCAGGAGTCAAGCATTATCTTCCATGATGATAGAGATGGATAATTTATAAAAAAAAATATTATTGGATTGCTTTTAATTATCTTTTATAATTATGGAGGTTTGAAAATTTTCATATAGGCTTTATTGATAACTCCACGGATCATGGTTCCCTAATTTTTTAGCATTATTAGCAAGTAAACTCGAAGTAATCCAATGACGTTGTTATTAAAGTGAACAAAAAAATTATACCCGACGGTCAATAAGGATAATATCAAAACTTATTTGTGCAAAGTAATCCAAGAACATTAAAATTAAAATGAAAATATAATTTGACCCAATGGTGAATAAGGATCATATCATATACGTCGCAGGAGACAAATCAAATTGTAATTGTGGGATCCAGCAAGATTGCCATACCTTGTGCAGTGCCGTCGGTGCCAGCATTGACGTAGATGCTCTAGTGGCCTGCCGCCTGCGAGTTTCTGCGCCAGCCGTATATTTGACTCCCCCTGCAAAGACAACCAATTCAAGCATACCCCTCCCCCCACCCCCACCCCCACCCAAAACACATCAGAAAATAAACCTCCGTGCTATATTAGGCCTCAAGAGGACCCACTTCCTCAGCGAGCTGCGAGCCCGCGAGCACCGGTTCAAATCGAATAAATACGTCGGTAACTACCTGATATAACCTTCGTCCTGTTCGTTTGGGCTTGTTTGGCTTACTTTCAGCCAACGAACAATATTTTCTTTTTATACCAAATTAGCCAACAATACTTTAGCTTATAAATCAAACACGACCAAACGAACAGGCTGCTTAAGCTTTTGTACAGGTACAGAGTCGAAGCAGATCCAGCACCATTGCTCCTTAAACATGCCCTCTTGTTACAACTTACAATACCAGCTCTAAAACAGAGAGGTTCCTCACCTGATTTCGGGAAATATCATGCTCAAAGGTTAAGGCCATATCAGTATATCACCCGAATTATTTTGCAGATAATTTTGAAGCGAGCCTTCAAATACGATACAAAATCAATTATAGTCACAACTCAGAACAGAAACGAATTAAACAGGAGACTCGCGCCTCTATGAACAGCAAGATGATGTTGCCGTGGGCATGGTGCTACGGCTGCAAACAATTATCTTCCCTGCTGTTGGTCAGCTGTGCGTGCAAAAATTGCTCCAGCGGGTAAACACTGCCCTAATAGGAGGAAGAAGCAAGCCAACCGGGGCCTTAACCCGGAGCAATTGGCCTCCGGCACCGGCGCCGGAGCGTTGCCGTCCCCACGTCCGCCCTGCAGAGCGGGCGGTTGGCGTTGCCCTGGAGAGATACGTCGACGTAGATGAGGTGGAAGATGTGGATGCAGGCGGGCGGCATCCTGACCCTGTCGTTGTGGAAACATGGAGGAACATGGGGCACCCCGTGAGATAAAATTGTATTTGACTTGACTAATAATTTGTTGGTTAGGTGATAAATAATGAATTTCTTCTTCTTTTTATCTATAATAATGACAGAGATGTGGAATTTTTAGAAAATAAAATAGATCTAATGGTTACAAATTACAAGAGCCGATAGATTTGATGGCTAGATGTTTCTAATTAATGTGGAAATTTTTAGCATTTATCTTTTTTTTCTAGCGCGTCTGGTGATAGTTAATGTGGAGGCTCCGTTAGAGCCTCCAATTATTAATAATAAGATAAGATAAAGTTAATAAAGAAAATAATGATCTCAAATCTTGAATTTTCCACTATAAAACTGCCCCCACCTCAATCAATCAGAACCATAGGCATTCGATAATTATCTAACAATTGCATCCCTAACTAGGCTTACCACACCTGCCATGACCATGAGAACCTACCAAGGAGCACTGCTCCTCGTCCTTGCCATGGTGATGGCGGTGCTGTTAACAGGTAACTAACCATAAGCAAGACCATTGGTTTTCAACTGCACTACCATAGCGCCAGTGCAGTTCACAGCAATGCCGTAGTGATCTGATATCCATTTCTCCCTGCAGGGATCTGCACAGCACCGGTGCCAGTGCCGACGCCGGCGCCGAGCTCGGAGGAGTCCCCGACGACGAAGCACACGTGTTTGAAGGTCCTCGCCGACAGAGGCTGCGACCGCAAGGCCTGCCACGGCAACTGCTTCATCAAGCTCAAGGGCAATGGAGTGTGCCTCCGGGACGTGTGCTGGTGCTCGTACACCTGCACATCGCTGCTGCCGCCGCCGCCGGCCCGGTGAAATGGCCATACAGGCAGCGGGCAGCCGAGATGACGTTCAGATTCGTGTGACATCCTAGGAGAGGGAGGCTGCTTGTTTTGCTAGTGTCAATCTGTGTGGCATGCAGTGTATTCTGTTCTGTGTAGCTGCACTGTTGCTAATTACCAGGCTCGAGATCGAGAATAAATATGAGTTCGTCTTCATGCCTTGCGCTTTGAGAATTGTGTGCCAACACAACGGATACACGTTCTAAATGGCTCACTTATGAAAAGAAATTTCTGTGTTTAGTATTGCACCTTTATGTTGGGCCATATGGAAAGCCCGTAACAAGGCCTGTTTTGAGGGCAAGTTGATTAAAAATCCAATTGAAATCTTATGTCATGCATGTGCTCTTATGCGATTTTGGGCAGATTTGTATGCTGATGGAGCAAAGGAAGCGTTGATTGAAGGTGTCAATACAATGTTGAAGATTGATGTGAAGTTGTTCACCAAGGCAAGTGAGAGGAAGAGGGATATCCGACGGATCCAAGAAGAGAACAAACACGATGAAGGTGACCTAAGGGACCTCCGAGTGAAGACATAGCTGTTGGGAGCTCTAGCAATGTTTCATTGTCTGTCATGTCTTTGTGGCGGTTCCTTTTGTAACTGATGATGGATGTTGGTTGGCTTCGCTTGTTCTAGCTCTTCCTAGCGTTGTCTTTTGCTTTGTGAATACCCCTCCGTCCCAAAATAAATGTAGTTCTCGGTTCCTGAGAAATTAAACGTTTTTAACTTTGATCAATTATATAAAAAAATTAATATTTATAGTACATACTTAGTATCATTAGATAGATCATTCAATCTATTTTCATAATTTGACTTGCACGGATACCATAGCGACACTTAGTTTGGAACGGAAGGAGTACTCTTAAAGAAGTCATATAGTTTGTTCCGAGCATCAATGGCGGAGTTAGAAATATGATTTTTCATTGATTCCAGTAGTACATTTTTTCAAAAAAATTATTCAATTTTTTATTTTTAATGAAAAATTGTACGGACTTATAGGGTCTTGCCCCCCTCCTCCCCCTATCTCCGCCACTGGCAAGCATAGAAGTTCTCAGCCTTTGAGTGTACTAATCTAGTATTACAAAAAGTGGCCCTACATGTCCTGTTCTAAGTAGAATCATATTTATGGGGTGTTTGGATACAGGTGATTAAACTGTAGTCCCTGTCACATTAGATGTATGGATATTAATTAAAAGTATTAAATATAGACGAATTATAAAACTAATTCAATAAGTCGTGACTAATTCGCGAGACGAATCTATGAAGTCTAATTATTGTTGATAGGAATATCTGCTCGTATATTATTGCCTTTATACAGATCGCACTGTCCACACCTTTTGTTCTTGGCTGTCCCTACACGAAGAATATATAGTTTTTAGGCTTTAAGAAATTGTATGTTGGACACACCATTTTATTTTCCAAAGGATGGAGAAATCTTTGCTTTAATACGCTATAGTAAACAAAATTAGCATAATTTGCTATGTAAAACTAGACCAAATAACCATACAACTAGGGGGCGCCACACTTCTCCAAACAATTACAATACGACAACCAACACAATTAAATCATTGTTTTTTGTGTGGCAAAACCGCAAAACCTCCATTCACACATACAACTCCGCCGAAGCACAACTCAATAGCGGCAACTTCACAACTACTCCTACAACTCTATTGGAGCAACAACTCAACATGTTGGTTGGTTCCTTAAGTAATTACTACGCAACATGCACCATAACACATGACAAGATTTAGATTGAGCTAGGATAAACCACACTCCTAAGGGCACTCCATGACGAAGGCTGATGCTAAACATTGCGCTAAGAGATTCATTATGGCCTAAAGATTGAGAAGTTGATTTCCTTTTTGGAAGCGGATGGAGAAATTGATGGTGGTACTGATATTCATGTATTGCTCTAATGGCATGTGTTAGAATAGACATTTATATGCGGTTAGGCTAGTGCATTGTGCTACATAACCCAAGCTCCTCTGTTAGACGATCGCTTAGTCCATTTAACGGCTATATTGTGGCTAGCCGTGTCTATTTTGTCCAAAAATTTCTCCCATTTCAGTCAAACTATAGGTGACTGGCCATTTAGGTTAGGTGAACACATGCCTAGTGTGGTGTTCAGTGGTCCAATTCATGCATTTCTTGTGTCAATGAATACTTCACCTGCCTCACAATGTGACTATTACTATGGTGAGCTACTTCCGCTTCCTTAAATTTTAGTAGGAGAAATAGGAATGCAGTTATTGTAATCTGTTGGCTTAATACATCATAGCTTTCTTTGGCAGCCATTAAAAGTATATCTAGCTATATATACTGCTTTGGAAAGAAATAAAGAAGTATCTATACTATTTGTATTTTGTTAGGGCAAGAACCATGAATTTGTGGAATGCTTTAAGTTTTACAGTAATCTCCCAATCATTTACTCAAAGTCAGATTATCTCATTCAATAAAATGACCAAAGAAAATAAGAGCTAAAACCTTGCTTTTCCACTGTAAAACCACCCCCACCCCACCCCATCATAATGCATAGGTATTCAGTAACTATCTCCAACAAAACCATTGAATTAAACAACTCCACCTCTAGGCTCTAGCCAGGCTTGATACGACACCGACCGACAATGAGAACCAGCCATGGAGCACTACTCCTTGTTGTTGCCATGGTGATGGCCATGCTGTCAACAGGTAACTATATGTCCTTATAAGCAGGACCAATGGTTTTTCATATCATACATGAACACCACCAGAGGCTAGAGCGTTCGTACATACTTCCATAGTAATATTGTGTGTGATAGATATATCCATTTCTCCCTGCAGGGATCTGCAATGCGCCAGCGCCAGCGCCAGGTAAGGAGGAGTTCCCGCCAGAGTATAGGTGCTCGAAGGTCCTCTACTCCAGCGGCTGCAACGACAAGACATTGACGACGTGCGAAAACAAATGCTTCAACCAGCTAAAGGGTGACGGGCTGTGCATCCGAGGGGCGTGCCAGTGTTCCTACATGTGCAAGCCGCCGCCCGGTGACATCTGAATCTGATATAGGCCATGCACACATAAGCGGGCCGCCAGGGAAGGCGATAAGATTTGTGTGACATACTAGTATAATTTAATGGTTTGTTTTTTAACAAATCAGGTAGAAAAGCTGCCAATTATATTAATAAAGAAAAAGATTTGAACTAGACAAGACAAACTATGTCTCTGAAAGATTTTACGATGGAAAACAATAGCTACCACAACTTAAACAACTCTACCAAAATAATCCGCATGCAACATAAGCAAACAGCAACATGACAAACTACAACGAACATAAACAGCTAAAGAGGCCGCATGTTTTGACAGTGGGATGCAATGCAATAAATTGTGCTCCATAGCAGCACAAGTACTAATTACCACCTGATAGATGAGTTCGTCTTCATTTACTACTTGTGTGGTCTTGTAGGAGCATCTCCAAGAGTTCCATGAAAACAATTGGTAAATGAATGAGTTTTTCAAGTGGCTAAAAAAGTTAGGAGCACATTTGTTAGCTTTCTCCAGCGGTTTACAAACCTCTTTTAAAAGATACTAGTGAAGGCAGCGTTATGTTCAGGAGACTGAAGGATACTGAGTTGTAGAAATGGAAGACGATAATAGAATATCTGGTTCCATGCATATCATATTAGTACGGGTAGCATATATGTTTCTTATTGACTGACTGGCAAATAGTACTTGATGTCATAATAGCCTGGATATTATACAGTCGACAGGCTGGAGACCGGGTGTTTAAGTTTGCAATAGTACTAACTAACGATAGATATAAGTGCAACAGCCTGGATATTATACAATGAGCAGGCTTAGAAACGGATTCCATGGTTATTTGTACAGCATGATCCTCTGCAGATCTTGGGCATTTGTACAGCCTGGATATTATACAATGAGCATGCTTATAGATTTAATCTATAACTAAGTTATACATGATCCAATATGTATGAAATTTTTATTACAATTCAAGCATACAATAATTAGCCCACAATAAAAATTTTACTACAATTGGACCATATAAACTACAGCTATGAATTATTTCAATTAATTACAAAAAAGCATAGATATAAAGGTATAGCAAAAACTTTATACTAAAACATATCATATTATATATTTACTGTGTAGATCTACTCATGTAGAGTCCAACAAAATTGAATTTTCTATTTTATAATTTTTTTTGTGATTTACTATAATTTTTCAAAGATTCAGCCGAAATAAATAAAAAAGAAAAAGACAAAACCGCCTTCAAAACCTCCCGTAACAGAGTTAGAGAGGTAAGATGAACGGTTTTAAAAGTTGAAGGAGATGTTTTATCCGTTTTTAAAATTTAGGGAAAAAAAACAGACTTTCGTGAAACTTAGTGACCCGTGCATTTTTTTTGCCGGGCAAAATACCCACGCCACCGATATGGCGACACGCATGGTCCATTGGTCCACAATTCCACGTCCAATGATTCAAGTGGAACGTTGTCACGACTCCACCTGAAGCTCTGACGACGAGGAAGCAGTCGAAAAACTTCAATACATGGGCCAGGCTTCAAGAAGGAACGGATCAAGAGGCCCAATGATCCACGCTATGTTGGGCTAACTGGGTTTGCAAGTAAACGGACAAAGGGGCAGCCCAACTGTGTGTAAACAGAGAGGAATCCAAACAGAGACGCCAATACCTCCTGAAGAACGGAGGCGTGCAGAAAGGGAAAGCTTAGGCTACAACTGGTTCAGGATAGGCGCTGTCGGTGGTGGAATTGGAGGTGAATTGGTATCTATGACTATCAAATTCTCTCGATCTCAGTCAAATCCAGTACTAATTCCCTAACATCTGACATCACAGCTAGGTTTCTTCCACCCCGGATCCACCCACATTGGTCATACATATCTGGTAAATATTGGAGCAATGGCTCTCCCAAGGCAGATGAACCGATTTCGCAGATCCTAGAAAAGATTGAGAGAGGGACATCGAGAGAGGCAACGCATGATGGAAGCCTCGAAGGTTTCTCTGCAACTGCAATCCATAGAGGATTCAATACAGAAGCTCACTGCCAAGCAGGGTGAGGTGGAGGAGTGGAAGCCCGACGTCGACAAGAAGGTGGACGAGCTCCGCGACGCCATGCTCAATTCAGGTAGATGGACCTGTTCAGTGTTCATGGGCAAGTTTCCCACAGCGAGTTGATGATCCACCGGTGGCAGGAGCGACAGCGAGATCACGACGGACGAGAGAAGGGCCGCGGTGTGAGACGTTAAGTTCCGTGTATGTATGAACGATTGAAGTCTATGCAGTCCGTGATTTAGTTACAGGGGCAAGATCGTTCTTTTCGGTGCCTGAAAATAGAAAAAAATAAATGAAACTAAAGAGGAGATACATATGGACAAAGAGTCTGCATGACAATTTTGCAGAACAAACTATAGACGTGGTAAATTTGTAAAGCCCACTATTGAGTAAGGGGATGGCTAGCGCCCGGATGTCCGGAGCGTCACATGCCTTCGGACGCCCGCTCAGCCCGCCCGTGTCCGCCTTCGCCTCCGCCCCACGCGCGGACGAGCGTGCCCCAGCGCGCCCCCTCGAACGCAGCACCCTCGTCTATCAGCACCGAGCGCCCCAGTGCTCTAGCCCTCCGGCGCGCCGCGCGCCCCCGGCTCGCCCCGCAGCCCGCCGTGTTCACCTTCGCACCACCCACACGCGCGACGAGCACGACCCCCCCCCCCCATCCGCCGCCCCGGCCAAATAACATAAAACGCTCGAATAAAACAATTGCAACATGGTATAACTTGCTAGAACATAAGACTAAAACAGCTAGAAACATTTAGAATATATTATTGCAACATTTTTTTGAAGCATGTGAAACATCCAGATCAGAATAATTTCAACATACGTCGAGAAACAGGTGAAATATTTTGAACAAATGCTTGCAACATGCCTCTGAAACACTTGCAACATATGCACTATGTGCAACATCCCCTGATCTACTTTGGCAACATCAAGATGAAACAATTGCAACATACTTCTGAAACGTCCGAAACTCACATTTGCAACATATGGGTCCTCCATGGCGTGGTGTCTTCGGCCGACCGCGAGAGATGATGTCCCGACCGGCGACGACCTTCTCCCAGTGGCGCCGGGGTGGGTGGTGGCGGTGCACGCCATGGCCGTGACGGATGGCCGCGCAGAGGCCAAGTGGATGGCGATTGGAGATGGAGTGGATGGTCGCACGAAGACGGAGTGGGCGTGGGGCGGCACTGCACGGCGCAGGATGGGTGCGCGCGGGGGATGGCGGAGTGAGCGGACGGGCGAAGGATGGAGGTGCACGGTGGTGGCGTGAGGCGGCCCAGTGCACGCGGTGCGCGTGGGGATGGCCGCGGCGGCCAGCGGAGTGGGACGAGTAGGAATTTATTTATTTTTGGAGGAGTGAGTCACGCGGGGTGGTATGGTGTAGTGGGATGACCATGGTGGTCAGTGGAGTGAGTCACGCGGCGTCTGGATGGGGGTGGACGCTGGTGACCAAGCATTATCGTGCAACTAATCAACTTTTCAACTTAGTCTCTACCCAAGAGAATAATTAAAAAACAATTTAAACCCTTAAAAATAGGTAGCAGTCAAAAGCAATTTCAAAAGCTCACATTATGACCATGAATATACATTAATCAACATTGATACCAAGAGTAAATACATCCCTATATAACCCCTTGCCGACCAGGTCCATGAGCCCACCCGGCAATACATACAAGCAAAAACCAAGCAGCGCGCCGACGCTAGAGATGAAGACCAATCTCGTGGTGGCACTACTGCTACTCGCCATGTATGTTGTGTTGTCATTGCCTGCAGGTTTGGACGATTATTATTTATTATTTATATATATATGCCGAGCACTTAACTTCCAGTACTTCCCCACTCTCTCTCTCTCTCTCTCTCTCCTACTGGTCCAAACGAGCCCAGTTGATTCATGCAGATAGCATGGCGAGCAGGGTTGGGCCAAACTACTTCCAGGACACCTGCTCGACGACGATTTCCCCAGGGACGCAGTGCCAACCCCGCAAGTGCTCCGACGACTGCACCAGCCGATTCAGGGGCGGGGTGGGCGGCTGCGACCATTCCGTGTGTACGTGCGTCTACACCTGCCCCGAGACCCCGCCGGCGGCGAAGCGGGAACAGCTTATGCTTGATGTTAAGAATCGATCGATCGCGTTGAAAGCAACCAGGTATGTTTAGGAAGCGTTCTCACCTCTACAGAGGCCGCGTAGCTTTGTTAACATATGCAGAGAAGAGCCCTCTGCATGGCGTACAAATCACCAACCGAAATCAAGGAGATGCCGGTATTATACCTTTCTATTTTTACAACAACCATATCTGGACTTTCCTATCTTTACAACCCAGGAACTTTCTACACAATTCTACACATCGGGACTCCATGATTTCGGTTGGTTTGTTTCCATACAAAGCATATGTTACAATATTATCTAACACGCGTAACCGATCTCTCTTTGTCTCGATGTATACATGCAGCGACCGGCTAGCGCGTGCCCAGCCGTGACACCTTTATTTCTTCTGATGAATGAATGGAATGAATTTGAATTGGCTGAGGATGATGGTGGCACCGCAGTCTGAAACCCTGAATATTCATCCCATGTTATGCTATGCATGGCTGAGGTTGTATGTGAATATCAGAACGTGACCATTTACATTTAGCCTGCTCGTTTTTGCTCTTTGTCATGCTATAGGACATTGTTTTGATGGAATGTAGCAAGGTCAAAATAATAGTATTGTGTCAGCACTACACCAGCTGACACTGATCAGGCGCCAAGCTCGACTAAAATGGAGCCTGACCAAATTCTGACAACAGAGGTGACGGTTCCGGACGGGCTACAGTCAAGCAGGCCGAAGAGGCCCAGGACCGGCAACCCTCGCTACACTGGGCCAGAATGGAGCGCCAAGTGACCCAACAATCGATGGCGTGTGCGCCGCCGTTACTGAAGACGTGTGTGTCTTGCTATATAGGCTAGCACCTTCTTGTGGAAGGGG